TTTCCGCCTCCCACCTCTAACAGCTCTGAGGCGGGTGGGGTCAGGGAACACAGGGAGGCTTCCTCCAGCCTTTCCTGAGAACACAGCTTCAAAATGTCCACACCCAGCCTTGAAGAAAGCCTGCGGCCAGGGGCCAGATTCTCCTCCCTGCAGTCAGCCTGTCTCAGCTCTATTTCTGGAAGCATCTCTGTCCAGGCAGACTCGGTCCAGGGGGCTCTGGAGAACACCAGGTCACCCCTCCACCCAAGGAGAGCGCACAGGCTTTGCCCTTGACTGAATCCACAAGGCTCAGCCCTGCCTTTCACAGCCAGGACCCCCAGCACTCCCCATCCTTCTCATTATTGTTGCATAAAATATTGTGCAGAGCAGAAGGGGCTCGGAGGCTGAGTAATTTAAATGCTCTTCTTTCCTCTGTTGCCCTCCAGAGTGAGCACTCAACTTAAGAAGAATGAAGGGGTCAGGGGGTGTGGAGCAGGGGGCCCAAATAAAACAGCCTCACCACACAGGCACTCCTAGCCCTCACGCTTTAGCTTTTTCCAAATGCACATGATCCACAGAAGCAGCCCGCGTTAAGACCTGTGCTCACTTATACCAGCGCTGGAGTAGGTAGGTTCTGGAGCCTTCCCTGAAGGTGACGCTGATGATGTATACTGTTATCATGTGCACGCTCAGGTCTGCACAAGCAATGTTATAATACCACAAGCCAGGAAAAGAACCATGCAAAACCCACCCCTAACCAGTGGATACCTTTGTGTCTTTTTCTTCCACCCAGTTCTGCTCCCCCCTCACCCCTCCCTCTATATACAACCTGTGCAACTTGGTCACACCCAGCGCTCCAGTTGCGTATTATGGTTGTTCCAAGAACCCTGCTGTTAGATATAATGCCAACGCTTTGTTCAAAGAGCTTTTTCTTTTCCTTTCTTCCTTTTTTTTTAGGACTATTGCCTTAGAATGCATTCTCAGGTATGGGAAAGGTGAAAGGTGAATATTTGTATGGCTCTTGAAAAAGAGCCCAGTGTGGTTTTGCCTAGAGCTTGACGGTCGGTACTTGAGGACTGAGAGAGCTGGGGGTCAGGGAAGGAATATGTGAGTACACTGGGGGCAGTGCACATTTTGTCAGAGGGAGATCCTCAGAGGGCTTCTCCCCTGAAGAATGGCAGCTGAGAGCAGAGGCCAGAAGCTGCCTGGGGGCACCCTCTCCTGTCCATTCTTCCCCCAGTGCTCCCACTCTGCCTCTAGGCAGCAGCTGCCAACACACCCACTTTTTAGGAATGAAAGGAGAACCCAGGAGGAGGAAAAACCCAGGGAAGGGATGAGCCCAGAACTGAGCAGTAAGTGCACCGAGCCAGGAGAAGCTCAGCACCACAGCTCTGCCCCAGGGCTCTGGGCGGCTCCTGGCCTGGCACATTTATTGGTGCACATATTTGCCTGTGTGGGGTCCACTCTCAGGTGCCGTGGGACAGCAGGAAGAGGCTCCCTAGGCACCCCATGAGTCAAACTATGAAGGGAACTGGACCCCCTTGAGAACTGACTGCATATCAGTCCCCTGGGGTGCTTTAAAAAAGAGCTGCAGCACCTTCCAGAGACCCAGGTTGTGCTGACAGCTTTTTTCAAATGGACATGATCCACAGAACAGGACTAGCCAGGACTGAGAACCACTGCACTGGCAGTTCTGTTTTCTGGAGAGGACAGTTTTGGGAGCAGGGACAGAAAGCCTCTGAGGTGGTAGAGAAAGCAAGCAACTGTGGGGTAATGTACCCTTCCCCAAGGGATCCCAAATAAACCCCCCCACGCAAATAAGCCAGTGCACGTCTCTTAAGGGCAGTCCCTTAGCTCTGCCCCTACAATCAGGGGGTCGCCCAACCCGCTGTCAAGAGGACTGTCAACCTCAGAGCCTGTAAAATACTTCCTGGGCCTGGAAACCTGTGCTCCAGCCAGAGGTGACCCTGGATACTAATCTGTGGGTGCCTTTCACAACTTCCCTCTGTTCTCTCCTAAGGTCAAATGGCCCTGAAGGCCCCCAGAATCTCTGGTTCCTGACAGATACCACCCCTGAGGAGCTCACTGGCATAGGCAGGCCTGGGGCCTCCTTCAGGTCTGAGATGCCTGCTCACCAAGACGAGGTGAGCGATTCTGACTTCTATGGATGGGGTGGACAATTTTCCCACAGTGATTACTTTGGGGTGGACAATTCTCTCCAAAGTGGTTACACTGTAAAGGTCCAGAGGAGAACTGGCACATATGACTGGCACTCTCCTTTCTTCCCGCTCTTCCTGTGCTTTCTCTAACCACCTGCCCTTACATGGCCCATTCAGCCCTTGCCACAAAGAGACACCCAGTGCCCAACCCAACAAGGATCAGTTCCACAAATGTTTCCCGAGGTCCTTGAAATACACAGTGAAACCCAGCTGTGACATTTGCGCCGCCATCTGTAGTTCAGAGAGCCTTCCAAATGCTTTCTGTGGCCACCACAATAACTCTAAGAGGAAAGAGGTTATGCTCCCCTCTGTACAGATAAAGAGACTGAGGGTCAGAGAAGAGGAACAACCATTCAAGGTCATTTGAATACAAGTTGTCTGGCTCCTGGTCCCCTTCCCAAGGCAGCCTGCCACGTACCTGACACTCAGCTGCCTCACTGGTGAATATGGGACAGCGAGGTGTTTTTCCAGGGTCATCCCCCGCCCATATATCCCAAATGATGTAATTCCAAGTTTACAGATTCTCAGCCTAACTGCAGAACCCCGTGAGGCTGCAGCATCCGCTCCTCTGCTCACTCCCACCTCTGCACCTCCCTGACTAGAATGTTCCTCCCAGTCCCTACTAATAGCCTGGTCCTCCCTGTGCTGCCAGTTTCCTCGGGCTGCACAGAAGGTCCGAGGCCTGGACAGCATCCTGGAGTCCTGGATCAACACTGCTAACTTGCTGCAGACTGTGTGAGACCTCAGGCAGGTCTCTTCCCCTCTCCAGGCCTCCGCTTTCTCACTTATGTAATGGGGCAGCTGAATGCAGCGCCCCCTAAGTTCTCCTGGCTGTGGTCTCTCTGCCAAGCCACTTCCTTCCCCTTCCCCTGCTCTGCCCTCCCCATGAGCTCACGGTCCACAACACCTTCTCCTAGCTACACATCTTTTTTTTTTTTAAGTTTTATTTACTTATGCACACAGAACTGGGGTATAGGCCAGAGGTGCAGGGGCAGTGAGAGAATTCACCAGAGACAGAGTGGGGAGCAGAACAGGCACATTGACTGAAATACACTGCTGAGGGGAGCAGCAGGTGAGACAGGAGAGGTCTGCTGTCCCATAGGGGTCACCTTCCCGGCCAGGATTGCACTCTTGTTGAAGAAGCTGTGGCTAGCTTCCTAGTGCTGCGCTTTAACCCACTGCACCACCATGGAGGACCCTCCACATCTTTCTCCAAAGCATTCATGTCCAATCATTCTGCTCAATTTTAATCTCCCTGAGGGCAGAGGTCTCTGTACCTGTGGCTCAGGTGTTCTGGCAAGACATGGTGATTGATTTTAATCCACTGACGAATTCTTTAGGTTGAAACCTCGTTCTTCCCCCTCTTTAGTCCCCCGAGGCACACACGGGCCGCAGCAGGCTGGAGTCTGGTGGGGCCCTCTGTCCTCTTGGATGCTGATGCAGTGGGTGTGCAGGCCTCTGCAGTGTGAGGCAGCTTCTGCAGGGGGGGGAGAGGTCAGTGCTGGGTTTTCAAAACTTTATGCCGTATCACTATTACAGGCCTCAAATGATGATATCAGAAAGCACACAGCCTTTCCTTCTCCTTTCAGAGACTTCATGTCTAGTATTTCATTTAGTCCCTTGGGCAGTCAAAGGGAGGGACTTGTCCCAGGCTGCTATGGCTTCCGCATAAGCCAGACCTGGGCCATTTTCTGTGCTGGCCATTCTGTCAAGCCCTGCGCTGTGCAGGATGACTGCTTACCTGTTTGTCTGGCTTCAGTCACTTTCCCTTGGAGAACTTGAGTTTGAGAGACTAACCTAGACTGACAGGCACACACACACACTTAAACAGCTTTACAAGAAGCGCATCACAGAGGGTCCAAATAGAGCCAGGTGCCCAACAGCAAGATTCAGGATCTTGCTGAATGAGCACCTGCAACGGCTCACTGTCAAAGGGAAAACTGATGCCCCAAATGGGTAGAGACCTGCCCAAGGTCACAAAGCTATCTAGAGGCCAGAGCCCGGGTCTCTGGACTCCTCCTCCTCCTCAGGGGGTCTTCCCACTGCCTGCAGAATTACAAGGCAAGGCACAGAGCAGAAGGCGCTAGAAGAGCAGGCCCCAACTTCAGCGGTTGTTGCCAGCGGGGTGCCTCTTCAGTTACTCTGGGAAGGTGAGGGGTGGGACAGGAAGTAGCTGCGACCTGTTCCTTCAGCACCTGGGAGTAGCCACTAAGTCTGTGTTCCTGGAGCCAAAAATTTTCCTTTGTCCTCTGTGTCCTTTCAACCCTTATCGCTGTGTCCACTGAGTGGCAGAGGGCCAAGCCCAGCACCTTCTAAACCTGGGAAACAGAGACCCGGGGGCTGGGTGGAAAACTCCCCCATTGGGCACGGACAGAGAGCTGGCAGCGCTGCTTTCTCCCACCCGGGAGGAGGGCGCTGTGGTGGGCTGGGGCTGCGGTCCCCAGTTGATCCCTTCCTTCCCGATGGGTGCGCCACCTTGTGCCTTCTCCCGAAGGGCCTGGAGCTTGCGGCCCCAGGGAACGCACGTGGGCGCGGAGGGAGAAGGGGCTGAGGGTGAAGGGGCTTAGGGCACGCTCTGCCTCCACCTGGGCGCGCGGCAGTGGTCGCACCTCAGGCTGGGTGGAGCGACCTTTCAGAGCTCAGGGAGGAGAGTGCTGCGTGGG